TGACCGGACTAAGTTGGCTTTCTACCTGTTGCGTCCTGACAGTTCCCAGCTGAGGCACTGCGCGCAAAGCTGCGCCACCAGAGTGGGGCTGCCAACTTGGCAGCAACTGGACCCTCCACGCACACGCCGTTCCAAAGGACCAGCGGCCGCTGCCACCTCACTGGGTTGGAAAAGCCTCATAGCGCCACGGCAACCTGTCATCAGTTGGGCAAGGTAGAAGCTCCGTCGCTTCTCGTGCGTGCCGGTCCTACTGATTGGTTGGCTCGATGTTGGCTCAATTAAAAGGAGGACTCCTGGCCCGACAAAACTAAGCACGACGAGTTTGGCTTCAGCAGCTGTTGCTGCGCCATTGCTCTGCCATCTATTGTGACGGTGCTGCATTCTCAAGTTGGCCCTGTCGGTTGCCCTGACTGTCTCAGCAGTCTGTTGTATGAAGAGTCTTGCAGTCCAAGGTATGCCGTCATCTTGTACTTCCATTCTTTGGAGGTGTTGTATTCTCCTGTGAATCGTGGTGGTGATATCTTGTACTTGTGGATTCCTTCCAGCTGCTGTTGTTGCTCTTGTTGTTGTTGTCGTTGGGCCGCCATTACTTGAGTGTTCTATGGGAAGGCCACAGGATCTTTTCCAGGTGTGCTACTCACTGCGCTCCCATGTTAAACTTGGAGCAACTGTAAAACCTGCATTCCTGAAGCGCAAACCTGTGTGTGAATCAACCCGGCAATGCAGCGCCCTCTGTACTGGCAATCGGACGTAGGCTCAGGGCCTTGATGTATGCACATGTTGCGGATGCGGTCCATGCTTTACAGTGTAATGAAGGCATGTTGTACATGAACACGTCTATGTATGTATCTCTCTATATATATATACATACATATACATATACGTATACCTATACATATACATATACATAGACATATACATAGACATATACATAGACATATATATATATACATATATACATATACATATACATATACATACACCTACACCTACACCTACACCTACATATACATATACAAATACATATACACATATACATATACAAATACATATGCCTATACAAATACATATACATATACATATCCATATACATATGTGTATATGTATATGTATACATATGTATATATGTATATCTCAATTCTGTTTTCCGTTCTTCTCTCTCTCTCTCGATCTCTCGCTCTCTCTCTCTCTCTCTCTCCATCTCTCTGTTTCAGTGTGTTAATTTCTTTCTCCTGAAGGACTTTCTTGCTCAAATTTTCGCTTGTCCTCAGTTGTCCTCTTTACTTTGGTGGGGGAGGGCGTGATTCGTGTTCGGGTTCGCATTTTTTGTTTTTCCCCCGAGAGTGGGGGGAGTGCTGGCGGAGTACAACATGCAAGCACGGCACCCTCGAACCCAGATTCCGATGCCTCGCACTCGCTGCAGTCCCGGAACTTCGAGGGATCCTCTATCCTGGGGTGTTTGAAGGCACCCCCCCTTTGGAGCACTGGAAAAAGTGAAGCCCTTGGAAGGAGCAATTTGTTGATAGATGCGGGTAAGTCAAGGTGACGAAGTGATGATCAAGGCCATTGCGCCATCTACATTTCACGGTGTAGTAAACTAGGCGCTTCTTTCCTCATGCTGGCCGCAAACATCCGCACCTCGAAACCAAGCATAAAGAGCATGTCCCATGTTGTTGCGAAACGGAGGAACCCACCCCTCAAAGTCCCCGGCTTCGTTTTGGAAATTTGCCCAAGTGGCGAAGCCAGATCTCTAGTCAAGACACGCCCTATGAGTCCTTGCCGAATGTCCCAGAATGAAAGCACCCTGATATAGAGCGGGGTAACGCTGGGAGAGGCTGTTTGTCCAGTTCACAATCTTGAATTTTGTCCAGCGTTTACCTTTCATTGGTCCAAACACCAGGTTGGAGGTCCACAAAACAGGCTCCTCACAGCCAGACTTGTCAACGCGCTCGCTGCATTTTGGTCGAAGCTGAAAGGCTCAGGATAGATGGGGACCGGTTTCCAGTCACAACCTCACAGGCCTGCAATACCAGAGAGTTAAAGCCTACCACACAACCTCGGATCGAATCTTTTATCCTTAAAAAAGGGCTGAACGGGTGCGGAAACATCAAGGATTTGGGGGTGGCCTGTGTTGAGAGTATCTTTCTGGTGCATTGTTTTTCCTACAAGGAAGACGAGGAGATTCGAACTTTCCCCTTTGTGTGAAACCATGTGTGTAAGTGCCAAACTAGAACCCCCAAAAAGTGTGGTTTTCGCTTTTGCTCTCCTTTTATCAGTTCGCGACTTGGATTTACGGTTGGGAGCTTAGGAGGTGGTTGCCCATTTACCCTCTGCAAAAACCTGGGGGTCAAACCCCAGTTCCCACCAATCCAAACCACCAACTAAGGACGCCCTCAAAATGAAGCGTGTGTTTGTCAAAACAGGAGGGACACAACAAATTGTGTTGATTTCCTGTTGGTTCCCTTTAAACCCTCCCAAAAAGGCGACCTTCGCAAAAAACACACACTTCGGCCGCAAATGCCCAATGCGTAATCAATCCGAGGCTCTCTGACATCTTCTTCGTGCCCTTGCACCTGGCAAGGAATTGCTCTTCTCGGTGGGGAGCGAGCACCCGGCGCTTTTGAAAAGGACACCGAAAAAAAAGTGTCAAAAGTGTGAGTGTTCAAAAGGGAGACCAACAGGAAAGGTGCCCTTGTCATTGTGCTTTAAAAGGAAGAAAACCGAAATCCATGTTGGGGGCCCCTTGTTTTGGCATATACCCACAAGGATGCGTGAGCAGCGCCTTTTGCCCGTTGTCTTTGGGGCTCTACCAATATGGTTATAAAAACGGGTGAGCATTGCCAGTACCTGCCAAACGGCCCGAACGGGCTTCGGGCGCTGCTCACATGGGCTCACCACATGTCGCCAAACATGGGTTGAGTTGTGTCCTTCAAAGAGTTTTGCTTTTCAGGACCCTGACAGCGAGAGTCCCTCACCCAACGAAAACTGAAGCTGTGAAGCATGGTACCTTCGGCCGAAAGCCGTGAGATTTCCTGAAGAACGCGTGACTCATGAGGGTAACTCACCTTGCGGAGACATGTGTTGTTGCGCCTAACCGCTGGGCTGCTGGGCATCCAAAGTGAACGGTTGCATCAACTCCAAGGAGCAGTTTCCCCTGAAGACGCTTTGTTCAACAGGCAACGAACAACTCAAAGAAACGGCTGCGCGCCGCGCCCTTCGACCCCGCAAGTCCGGCTTGTGCAAAAAGCAGAACGACTAGCTGCCTAGCTGGAGCTGCAAATACACTTGGACTCTGCGCCCAGATTCGTTCGGTCACAGGGGCAACGCACGACTGGAAAAGGCAGTGCGACTCCTGCAATTTGGGCTGGGCTGGCGCGAACTGCACACTGTGAAAGGGCCAGCTCGTTGCTGCCAGGTCGCGGAAGCTGGTTCTCAAAATAGGAATCGGTCTGTGGTTGGTTCCCCGAAATCTGTCTTGAGAAACTCTCTCTCCTCAGCATTTCCCGATCCCGGGTTGCGCCCGTCTCCGGCTTCCTAACGAACGCCGTGGCTGACGCAAAGCGAAGCCGTGGCTGAGGCAAAGCGATGAGCTGATTGGTTACAAAAGTGTTTTGTTGACGTAGGCCCAAATAATGAAGAAACCTGGCAAGTCTAAAATTTGCAAACTGAGCAGGCAAGGCAACCACAAAAGCACCCTCGCGGGCTGAGGTTGGTCTGCTCATTGCCACAAGTGCTCAGCCCTGTCCCTCACTCTAGTTCTTGTGATCTATTGTACAGGTGGTGATGCTGTCAGTTGGGTCAAAAGTGGTGACTTTTTGAAATGCTTGGGCTCATGCTGGGTTCTTGTCAACATGAACCAACAAGGGGTTGCTTTACGAGCTTCACACCTGTGTCAGAATTTGGACTCCTAATGCGTCGCCTGAAGCACACCAGGAAGCCATCCCCCTGGCACTGGATGCCTTGGGGGGCACTTGCGGCGAGGGCGAGTTTTTGGGGATGCCCAGTAGGCCTCACTTCCCGCTTTGGGTGCCTTCAAACACCACCCTTTTTGGGCCAAAGCTGGCACTCCTTTCTGGAAGCAACTTCGGTTAAACTCAACTCCCAAAAAAAGTCCACTCACTCCAATTGCGGGGGGGGGGGTCTGGAGCAATGTGGTGGAACTCCCAGAAGAAGGATAACCATTTTTTCCATGGCCTCTGAAGGGTTGTGGTAGAACCATGCCACAAATTCCTCAACCTGTGGCCGTTCGGGTACAACCCTAGAGGTATTGAGCTGAATCGAAGTCGGTTCAGGGAGAGACTTGGGAGACTCGCTGCACTTCCAACAAACCCAGAGGAGTCACTACATGCCCCAGGTCCTTTTCAGACAACAAGCCATCACGACGATCTGAGTTCTGTTTACAATTTGCTTCATCCGCGAGTTGTGCAAGGAAATGAAGCATGGGGGGACTCAAATTGGGAACATCAGCGGGGACCCACAAAAATGGTGATAATCCTTTTGGTTCTCCTTTTAAAGCCACCAGAAAGAGTGTTATTGAAGCTAGGGGACTCTTGTCCTGGTCTTCATCATGTTTTCCAGATCATGGTTAGGCGCACCCCTTATCCATATCAAAAAAAAATGAGCAGGAAAACAGGTTTTACACTGCGATGCAACAATGTACATGTTCAGATGCGACTTGGATTTGATTTCCAGAGCACTGGTCTGTTCAAGTCGTCAAGTCGGCGCGGATGGGATTTCTGGATTGGGGCCGCTGGGCCCCTGAACCCCTGGGCCTCCGGGCACAGTGTGCCCTCGTCCGTGGGGATTCGCTCCTCAAATGCAATCGGATCGTTGGATGTTCTGGGGCTCTCGCTTGGATAGCGCTAGGAAATCGAAAACATAGCAATTGGAGGGGTCGCCCAAATGAACTTCCCAAGAACTTCCGAGCGTTTGAGAGATGGGCGGGAATCGAATTCATCTCGAGGTGACTACATTGCCCACCGAAAAGAGGGGGTTCAAAT